ATATATATATGTATATTACCAAACATTTTATTACTATTAACAAAATAAAGTGATTATCAAGGGTAATGCTGTGACATTTTTGTAATTGCGAGTCAGAATGATTATTTTGGCTGTAGAACAACTAGAAAATAAAAATTACTACAATAAAAATTCTAAAATTACTTTTAATAAAGATTGTGGACATTATTCAAGTGATTAGTTTCATTTGAAAAAGTTATAAAATTTTAAATATTACGAATATATCTATTTATTTTTTACTCTTAAATAGTTCTACTCGTCGAAGGATGTGAGATTATCGTGGTATTAAATTTTTTCCTTTTTTTTTTTTTTAAATATTGTCATTCAAACTGGGTCTGAAGTTGATAAAAAGTTAATTTTTTAATTTTTGGACTATTTTTGTGGCTTTTTTAACAAAAAAGCTAACTTTTTTGATGACTTTTTTGCGACTTTTTTTGGAAGAACTTGGTAAAAAATCAAAAAGTTGACTTTTTATCAAGTTTTCAAATTGCTCCAAAATATGAGATAATAGAAAATATTTATTGTTTTTTAAATTATAATACGTCTGGTAAAGATAAGATATAAAAATTGTAATAATAGAAGAATGATAATTTTTTCTAACATTACTACAATTTGTTTGGAAAAGATAAAGAGAAAAAATATATTGAGCCTTCGTTTGAGACGTGGCTTGACTATTTAGTTATTAGCCTACGGTTAAAAAGTATCATATGAGATAGATTTTTTAACTTTTTTAATATTTGTGAATTTTTTTATTTATAATTTAGATGTAATATTTTATTTTTATTAACTTATTTTATTTTTTAAAACTAAAATAACTAAAAAATAACTCATGCCAAACATAGCTTGTAACTAAAATCAGTACCTTCATCACATGTTTGAATGGACATTCTCATATAATGAAGATTCTCTTATCTTAATTTTGATTGGAGGATACTGTTGGATTTTTATTTTTTGGCTTTTGTAGAAGAAAAATGTTTGGTGGCTTGAATTTGTGTGGTTTGAATGGTTCGAATGTGTCAAAATGATGTTTACACTCAAAACGATATCGTTTTAGGTGTTTCGAACCATGAATTTTTGGGCCACTTAACATTATAGTAGAAGAAAAATGTTTATGGAATTGGTTTAAATGATTTGATCAATTTGCAATGATTTTTAAATAGATTATGCATTTAAAAAAATTGATCATAAATAAATCTTTCAATAAAGTAACATAATCAGACATTACTAATCTTTTATTTTTTCAATCTTTTGTAAGACATGATTGATCATATGATTACATTTCTTTGATCAATATTTTTTGTTTTTTTTTTTTTTACATAATGATAAAATTACAAAATCAATGGTACAACTTATCAAATAGATTATGTGGCAGACTCATACCAACCAACATCACAAGTAATTTTTTCATAGTATTTAAAATTAATCAGTTCGACAAAAAAATACCTGTGAAACATGGTAATTTACCTTTTTTATATTTTGAGAGAGATAAAACGTATTTCAGAGTCATTTGAGGATACTATAAAAAAGAAATTTTTTTGCTAGAAAATAAAAAAATCTCAAAAACTATGATTTTTTTTTTTAGCAAGATAGGCCTAAGTTTAAAAAAAAATAATAAAAAATAACTTTCTAAATACATTAATTTTTTATATCTCAAGAAAAAATTTACAAAATTGAGTAGTGTTATTTTAACTAAAAAATTAAACTTAAATTTCAAATTAAATGACGTGACAATATATTAGAATATATAAAGCAATTATGTTTGGGGAAATTGTAAATCAGTAGAATCTTAACAACATATTTACAAATTCATGAAAAAATTTATAATTTTAATTATTAAAATTGATAAAATTTACAAAAGATTTAAATTTTTTTTAAAAGCTTCCACTGAATTGCAATTTCCCCATTATGTTTATTATATATTCCCTAATAATCAACTAATCATATATTTATACATTATTAAGTCTAAAAAAGTGAGCTTTATATATATTAAATATTACTAAAAAAAAGAAGAGGAAAATTCTTGTTTGGTTTTGATTGATTTTTTGGAAATGAATTTTTTTTTTTTAGTGAATGTTTTTAATATCGTAAGTAATTTTTTACTGGTTAGATGCACTAGATGCATCTAAAAAGTGAGTATTTATAAAAAATTTAATAAATATATAAGAATATGAAAATGTACTGAATATATATATATTTTTGTATTTGATAGATTTTTTTAATTTTTTTCTATAAATATTATACCTTTTAAGTATATTTATGTTAGGTACATTTAAAAAATAAAAAATATTAAAATTTTTGATTAAAAACAAAAACACACGAAAAAAATTTAATTTTCTAAATGTGGGCTCAATTTTTTAAAACTAAACAAGGAAATTTTTTTAAAACTAAACAAGGTGCTCTAACCAAAAAAATTAGACCCGATGATATGACAATCTATTAACATATTTAAGACAATACTCATGACTTATGTAGTCATCAACTAATTGTATATCATTTTCTAAAAACCAAAGGGGTTTAGATTCTCTTGACAGGGGGCTTGAACTTGGTAGATTCATTTTGAGGCTAATTTTAATGATTGAAAACATTCATTTATTAGTATTTGTTGAGCGTAATATTTATACAAAAATTAAAATAATCGACATAAATAAATATTGTATATATTTCAATCGTATTAATATTACAACAAAATGATAAAAACTCTTGAAATTATAATTATCATTTATTATTTTAAAATAAATATCATTCAATATAAAATTATCGAAATTAAATTATTTTAATTTTTATATAAATATTAAAAACAAACTATTTAAATTAGGAAAATGCGGGAGACCCCCGGTAAGGGGCAACCCCCAGCCCACGTGGCTGTGGGTGATTGGCTGGAAAGGAAAAAAAAAAAAAATTGACGAATAGCGTTGCGCCACGTTACTGGGGGTCGACCCCCAGTGGGGTCTGTAACAGTGTTGTTTAAATTATCATAAATTGTATGAAGATACAGTAACGGTAAAGAAGCTCCAACCTTGACGTCTATCGCACGCTGCTCTATAACACGTGAAACAACTCTGACTTGCTTCGTATAGGTGAAGGTGAAGTTTCCTTCACTGCAATTCTGTGTGTAATTCATAACCATGATTACAAGATGACAAATTTACAATCACAGAAAAATTGGGAGAAAACGATATGAGATTGCTGCTATAATCATCATCAAAATAAAACTTATGCCAGCAATTCAAATAAATAAGTTTTAAAAACAAAAAATTTAATATTGTAATAGATGTATTGTTCAAGAAAAAAATGTTAAGAATTTTAAATATTTTATAAATTATTTTATACGTGTGTAGGACTACGTTATATGGATTTTAGGTAGGTCTCATACCACATTTGATAAAATATTTGATATTCTTAACATTATTTTTTCTTTAAGACATAAGAGTTTTATTTCTCAGTCATGCGACACAAAGAGATATTTTATGGGGTGTTTTGAGAAGTTGAAAAAAAATTAATTTTTTGACTTTTTGATTTTTTAATTTTTTTGGTGACCTTTTTTTTTGTTGCAAAAAAATTGACTTTTTTGATTTTTTTTTTTTGGATTTTTTAGGAAAACTAAGGGTATGTTTGGTTTGCATTTGAGAGATGAGTTTTAGAAAAAAATTTCTAAAAATTGTTTGGTTTGATTTTTTCTCAAAAAATTTTCAAAATCACTTTCTCTCTCTTACATATCAATTAATCACTTTTTCTCTCTCCTCTCTCCTTCTCAATCACTTTTTTCTCTCACACACATCTACTCAAATTCTCCCAAAAATATCAAATCACAAACTCTCAAAAAAACAACTCTCCCAAAATATACAACCAAACAAACCAAAAAAATTTCTAAACTCTCACCCCAATTTTTTTTTCAAAAACAACTCTCCCCAAAACAAACCAAACAAGCCCTAAGAGTCAAAAAAAAATTGACTTTGTACCAAGTCCCTAAATTGCTCCTATGTATCCCAATATTAGTATTTTATTTTATTTTTTATTATCTCAAAATATTAGGCCTTGCTTGGTTTGTTTTTGAGAAACAAATTTTGAAAAAAAAAAAATTCTAAAATTTTGTTTGGTTTAGTGATTTTGGAAAAAAAATTCCAAAATTACTTTCTATCTCCAATACATCAATCAATCACTTTTTCTCTCTTATCTCTCTTTCTCAATTACTTGTTCTCTCACATACATCTACTCAACTATAACAAAATATCAAATCATCCCAAACTCTCATACATGATACTCCAAAACTATTTATAAAATATACAACCAAACAAACCAACAAAATTTCTAAACTCTTTTTCCAAATTTTTTTTTTAAAATTTATTTTCCAAAACCAAACCAAACACATACTTAGTTTTTTTTTTTTTTTTTAAACTAATCATTAAAATCATATTAACTTCTTATTTTTATTTTTTAAAAAATTCATTAATTATGTCAATTGATGTTTTCAAAAAAAATTAAAATATAGTTTAAAAGAATTAAAAATTTTAAAATGTAATAATTGTACTATTAAAAAAAATTAAATTTTTCAAAAAGAACTAATATTTTGAAACAGATGGAGTAAAAATTTGGAGGAGGATTTCCTCTAGTTCAGATTAGTAGAGGGTTTGTTTTGGGCCTGTGAAGTGATTCGAAATGTTTATTTTGTCGGACATGTCATATATTTTATTCACAAAAAATTAGATTGATTCGATAATTGTAAATTATTTAATTTATTATTTTTATTATAAAAAGTGTATGATTTTTTTTTAAAACATAATTTTCATCTATTTTTAAGTGGGAAAATATGATAAATTAAATAAATTATAATTATGAGATTGATTTATTTATCTTTTAATAAATAAAATACAAAAAAAACATAATAAAATAAATAATTTAAGTTATTAAAACGAGAATTATAATAAATTTGACGAATCCAAACAATTCTCCCTCATCCAGATTTTAGAGGAAAGGAAATCTCATCCTAAAAATTTTTTAGATAGCAAATCCAACATTCACTCCAAATAATGGTACAGATAATTACATAATCCATACTATGTATATACACACACACATATATAATACAATTATACAAACAATTCAAAACATGAGATAATGATGAACATGGCCCTTTCTTCTTCTTCCTCTTCCAAACCCTCTCTCTCTCCTCCTCCTCCTCCTCACCATCCTCCCCACTTCACTCCTGTAAGTATAAACCATCTAAACCATCTATACATGTACATGTACATATACATATCTCTTTATGCTATATCTCTGTTTGTGTGTAGTACTGTTTGATTATATGTTTTTATGTTTGCAGATTCAAGAATGCGATAGAGAAGGAAACGAAGACGAAGAATTCGAAGATGTTAGAACAACCCCAAACGGTAGCTGTACTGATGAGAAAACAGAGTCAGAGTCCTCAAAGCACCACCCAACTCCGCTCCACCATTCTCAGAACAGAGCCAAAACGAAGCGGCGGCCGGAATCCGGCGGCGGCGACGCCGTGGATGACCGCGGAGTCTCCTGCAACAAGTGCCGTCCGAGCAACCGTGAGAAGATCTCCGTGGTTCCCGTGGACAGCAGCGGCGTTAGCAGGAACTCGAGTGCTAGCCCTAACGGAATTTTCAAATCGATTCTCTCTTCTCTGACGAAGAAGAGCCCTAGGACGCCGGCGGCGGCGGAGGGGGGAAAGGAGGAGCAGTGGAAGATTGCGGTGGCGGAGCTTTCGCATAAGTTGATTCAAGCGACGAGAAAGCGAGACGAAGCGATTCTAGAAGCTTCGAGGCTGAAATACTCCATGGCCGAACTCGAGAAGAAGCTAAACAAGCTCGAAATCTACTGCCGTAATTTGAAATCTGGACTCGAAATCTGCACCAACAACAAATCGCCATACCGATCGAAGCACAATCAGAGTCTAACAATCGGCGATCACGACAAGGTGATCGAACACTTCTTGATCTCCGTCTCCGAATCTCGATCAAGCGTTCGATTCCTGAGTCGTTCGCTCACTCTTCAACTCCGTCAAATGGGAGCCAAGGTCTACGATCGAATCTCCTTGCTTCTACAACCTTACGACATCAAGTTCTCTCTCTCAAAAAACCCTAGAGCTCTGATTTTCTACCTCGAAGCTTTGCTCAACCAAGCCTTCTTCGAAGACTTCGAGTCGACCGGGTTTCAAAAAAGTTCCCCGAGTCAAATCCTGAATCCGATTCGACGCTGCGAGAGTCAAATCCTGAATCCGATTCGACGCTGCGAGTCAAATTTCACAGCGTTTGGTCGGTTAGAGGGTTTGACATGGGATGAGGTTCTGACCAAGGGGACGAGACATTTTAGCGAGGAGTTTAGTAAATTTTGTGATCGGAAAATGAGTGAGATCGTGGCCATGTTCGGGTGGAACCGAGCGTGGCCCGAGCCGCTCTTACAGGCTTTTTTTGGTGCGTCGAAGAGCGTGTGGTTGCTTCACCTCCTGGCTAACTCGGTGCACCCCAGCCTGTCCGTTTTTAGAGTCGACAAAGGTGTGGGGTTCGATTCGGTTTACATGGAAGACATGGGTGGAGACAAGGCTCGGAAATTGGTCCCATCCATGGTTCGGATCATGGTCACCCCGGGTTTCTATGTCTATGGCAATGTGGTCAAGTGCAAAGTGCTTTGCAGGTATCACAGCCACACCAACAGTGATAGTAGTGAAAGGGGTTTGGCCCCTTCACCTATATAAAATAAAAAATTTTAAAAAATATGTGAATTACTATTGTGATAGTTTAGTTTTGTTATCTGTTAAGCTTTTGATATTTTGATGCATATTTTGTCCTTTTGGTGGAGGATATTTGGGTCAAAGTAAAGGTTTGGCCTTTGTTGTTAGTCTTTGTTTTATTTTTTCTGTGGTCAATATTGATCTTTATCAATTTTTTCTTCTCGGGAAAATTTGTTTGGAACTAGTGTTTTTTTTCCCTCATCAATTGAATAAATCCAACTAAGAACATTAAAAAGTTCTTCTAAAGTATAAAGAAAGATGTGCCCAACAAAAAAAAAACACATTTTTTTGGGGCAACGTTGTGAATGCCACATAAGATTCACATTTAAAAAAATAATAATAAATTTTCATGACACTTTTGATTGGGGTGGGAAAAAGAGTTGAGATTGTTAGTATGTTAGAATTACTAATCCTTAAAATGGTTAGATTAGCAATTTCACCCCTCTTGAAAATAGGCCATGATATTAGTTACATTAATCTCGTATATCATGTTATATACTATCTTAAATATAGTATAAATGTTTTTACGTTTCATTTGCAGATAGAATTAAGCAGAATAAGTTATTTTAAAATTTTAATTTTGAAATAAGTTATTTCAAAGAAAACATATTAAAAATTATACGACAAAAATATTATTCCAGAATTGGTTATTCCACCTCTCTCCATAACCCAAAATAATCTCATTATAATTTTTGTTTTGGAATTATTTAATTTATTTCTATTCCCTTATTCACAAATCAAACATATACCCCTATCAAACAATGACCCAGCTTCCATCTTCCTCTGCTACAGCCCCATTGTCCTTCAAATAATATTTGAAGAACAGATAGTGGAAGCAATTGGTGGTGGTACTTCCCTTGTGTTTGACTTTTGTGCATTGTACTTTTCACTTTCAATTCATTTTTGTGTTCTAAACTATGCTATACTTTTCACTTTCACTATTCGTTTTTTTGTTTTTAGTTTCTCATGTGATACTTCTCTCTTGTCGGGTGGTGTTGGCGGTGCTTTACGATATTTTTTTTTTTTAACTGGGGGTGCTTTACGAGTTTATCTGTACAATTTATTACTCATTATGTGGGTGTTTGGGTAATGAATTTTTTTTGGTAAGGTTTTTAGTTGTTATTAGAGATTTTTTTTTTGTGTTTGGAAAGATAGTTAGATTTTTTTGTGTTGGATGTAATGTTTGTAAGAGAAAAAGTGAAATGATTATGGAGTTTGATGTGATATTTTGTTTGTAATATTTATTTTTTTAAATTTTGTAATCAATTTATCTTTTAGTAAAAAAAACAAAAAAAATCACAAAAAAATCCTTCCCAAACACGGCCTATAATTGTTGCTTAGGGATTTCCCTTCCCCATCATCTTAGAAGTAGGCTAGAGATATAAATTGTATTTGAATCTTTGATAAAATGTCAAAAAAATAAAAAAATCTTTGAAAAAAAATAAAAAAAATGCCATGCTCACTAAATGAGGAGACACGTGTGACTATTTTTTTCTTTTTATACTTGTAGTTACAAATAAAGTATTCATGTCTATAGTTGTAGATATCATAAACACATGCATTTTATGTCCGATACTTTCAGTGCATGAATTTTTGTTTTTGTTTGTGCTTGTAGGTGTTGTTTGGAAAGTGGTTTTTTTAATTAAAAAGTTTTTTAAAAAGTCAAAAAATTAACAATTTATATCAAAAAATTAAATTTTTTTTTCTTTACTTTTTGTATATCTTTTCGTAAAAAACTAAAATATTATTCCAAACATACTATTTTTTTAACTTGTATTTTAACAAAAAAATAAAAAAAATAACTAAAATAACAAATTCTCAAACGAGGTCTAAATGTAAAAATATAAGAAAGGGACAGAATTTTTGTTTTTGTTTGTGTTTGTAGGTGTTGTTTGGAAAGTGGCTTTTTTAATTAAAAAGTTTTTTAAAAAGTCAAAAAATTAATAATTTATATCAAAAAATTAAATTTTTTTTTCTTTACTTTTTGTATATTTTTTCGTAAAAAATTTAAAAATCATTCTTAATATATTAATTTTTTTACATTATATTTTAATTAAAAAATTAAAAAATTATTAAAAAAGTCTGTTCCTCGACGAGGCTCCAAAGAACAAATTACAAATTGTTGTTGGTTTTGACTTTATTGGTTGGTTATGGCTAAGTGGGAACACCTTATTTTGTGGTTAAGGCTCATCCACACCCTTTGGGTTCAGTCCAGTTGGTACAATCACAAGCCCCTCTAGGGTCCAGCAGATTGTCTCTTTACAGAGTAGACCAATTTAAGTCAACTCATACAGTTTGGGCATATTCAAATGGTAACATCATCATCCTACAGAGCTCTAAATCCTTGACACATTTTGCGGGAGGGCCGAGTAAAGAATTTGTGGTTCAGTTCAATTTGATAGATTTTGATTATTTTTTAATTTGGTGATTTGGTTCCGGTTGAAAAATTAAAAATTCATAGGTCATGGTGGTTCCGAATTGAACCTTACAATTCCAAATTAGAACCGATCTGAACCGTATATAACTAGCCTATATTATATTATATACTTTCCAGTATAGTATCTTCTCTTATTTCATATAAAACTTAAACTCAAACCTAAACTCACATAATATATCTTTTATTACTTTTGTTTTTTGGTTTTTTGTTTTAATTTGTAATGGTCTAAATACATATGGTGGAATTAGTTTTCTTATGTTTGTTTAAATTCTAGAACATTATGTCGCTGTTATAAAAAGATATGTTGCTATTGTAGAATTAATATGATGTTATGTTTATATTTTTATGAAATTAAAATGCCATATATATATTTTTTTGTTATTTAATTATGTGAATTCGTGGTTTTAAACCGATCAAATCCGTATTTAAATGGATTGGTTCGGATTAGTTTCACGATTTAAATAGATTGAATCGGTTTTAATTTTTCAAGAATCGTAAATAACAAATTGATTTTAATTTTATCTTAATCCGGATTATGCGCACACCTATTTTGTGGAGCATGCTTTCTTGATAATAAGTAATATATTTTTTTCAATTTTTTAATCTTATTTTCTAAAACATCAGTGTCATATGAAGCGCACTCTTTTTTTTTTTTGTAGTATTTAATCTGATACTAATATTACTCACTACTTTAGTCAAGCTTGAAGTGTAATTCAAGAAAAAAAATATATTATCGGGTTGGGAATTTCAACCCAACGTTGAATATTTAGAAATTATAATGGTGATTGCATACCAAAAAAATGTTTATTTTTTGTATATATCCACAAAGGTAAAAGACAGATATATATGGACCCATTTATGAATTTATGGAGGCTTTCTACATCTTTCTTTGTGGACTCCTCATTTTGTTTTATCATAGTCAGCCTTGCCATTCAGGTATTCAAATTTTTTATTTTTATAAATGGTAAATTGTGCTAACACTTTTAAAACAATTTTACTCCTAATATTCTTTCTCAACCTTTGGGAATTGTACAGACACATCTCTTACCTAAATAATTAAATGACACTTTTATCCTTTTATCTACCTATTTTTCTCTCTACTCTTCCTTCTATTTCTTCGTCTTTCTCTTGCCATCATGAACACCACCTTCTATGTTCATCATTACTGCAACCACCTCCACTTCTACAACAATCATCACCCGTCTTCCACTGCCATCATAACGAGAAGTTATCGGTTGATCTTTGAAAGCTGTTAAGTAATATCTTAATAATATTATGATTGATAAAAAAAAAAAATATTGTAATTGTCTTAAGTAATTAGAAAATATAAAAAGATGTGATGTATTATAGTGATTTTTGGGAAGTTGGTAAAAAATTGATTTTTGATTTTTTTAACAAAAAAAATTAACTTTTTGAATAGTGACTTGGGTAAAAAAAATTAACTTTTTACTAGCTTGCAACGTGTCGAAAGCACCAAATAAATTTTCCATCATAAGCCACTCATGCATCCACTTTTCATCTTCAATCGTTAGGGTAAGCATGGTATGGATTGGAGTAAAATCAAGGTCGGATTGAGATAAAATTAAGACTAATCTATTATTTGCAGTTTTTGAAAAATTGAAATCAATCTAATCCGTTTAAATTGTGGAACTAATCCGAACCAATCCATTTAAATACAGATTGGATCGGTTTAGAACTATAAATTCACATAATTAAATAACAAAAAAAGAATATAGAGCGTGCATCATATTAGTTCCGCAATAGCAGCATATCCTTCCATAATAACGACATACTGTTTAGAATTTAAACAACTATAAGAATATTTAAACTATTACAAAGTAAAACTAAAAATTAACAAATAAAAGCAATAAAAGAATATACTATTCGAGTTTAGGTTTAAGTTTTATATGAAATAAGAGAAGATACTATGTGGGAGGGTGTATAATATAAATATAGACTATTTGTATACAGTATAGATCGGTTTCAATTTGAAATCGTGAGATTCAATCTGAAACTGATCAGTAAATTACGAATTTTAATTTTTCAATCTAGAACCAAACCACGAATTAAAAAAATCAATCCAAACAAACCAAATTTAACTAAATTAGGGGTTGTTTAGGGTGTCTTAAATAAGTGTACTTTTTATCTTTTTGGATTAAAAAGTTGAATATGGATGTTTGGGTTAACTTTTTGACTTTTTATGAAAAAATATGTATTACAAAATTGTGTAAATAAGTGTGTAGGAGAATATAGGTAGGAGGCCGTACGAATTGGCAGTGGAGCTGGCTGGGTGAGTATATGAGAAAATGTTGTCTCCTTCTAGGGATTTGATTGGATGGTATTGTTTGACTCGTGGGGACTCACCACGGGTCCCGTTTTTCTAATCGGAAACCGTTCAATGTGTAGAACTCGTCGAGCACTATATGTTTGTAGAAAAATCACGTTGATTGAATATCGATAGTTATTTGATTATATTAGTTTTTTTTGTTAACTGTTAACTATAGCACCATCTATTTTTATACAAAACTGATTTGATCATATAGTTAGCGATATCCAATAGACCCGATTTTTTATAAGCATATAGTACTAGACGAGTTCTACATATTAAACGGTTCAGATTATCAAAACGGAACTCATGATGGGCTCTAACGTGCCCAACTTTACTATTAAGATTTAGTGAATATTTTACTATAATTTTTTTTTCTCTGTCACTGACTGAACTCATCACGTTAGTACCATCATTTAGGCCAACTTTTTGATTTGTATTAATATTTGTATATTAATTTTTTAATATTTTTTTATGAATAATAATAACTTTTTAACTCTTTGTATAATTTTTTGACTTTTTAACTTTTTTTTAAGATTGACAAACTAGCTCTATACCAATTTATAAATTTTACAAATTGCTTACTCACTGCCAGCCATACATATTGCACCTTTCAATCCCAATACCCACTGCCGCCCACTCCTACCCTTAGCAACGATCTTTACCTACACCCAACAATAGTGCAAGTCCAGCCTAAACTCAATTCGGTCCAGTGTTTGTGCATCCCAATGTGGTTTGAATACGTGGAGCACCCAATAATTTTTCAAAAGGCATGTGTTGGTGCATTCTTTTTTGTTTTCTTGTTGTTGCATAACATATCAATGGTTTTGATTACAAAAAACAAAGTGATATATCCCAGCTTTAAAAAAAAACACACAAAATGATATTAATATAAATTTGGTATTTTAAAAAATTTAATTGGTTACATCAATGAAGGTTTTAGTTGACCCCAATTTCAGGGGAAAAAAAATATTTTCAGAGAAAAATTGAAAATTTTCTCACAAAAAAAGAAAAGAAAAGAAAAGGTAAATGCATATTTCATAAAATAAAAAAAAAATTCAAAATATTGTTCTCCTTTAAGAAGTGATATTATTTATAAAAAAAAAAAGACAAGAAAAAAAGACAGCTTTTTCGTGGGACACATCAATTTGCTGGATTAGTTGGAGCGTTATTTGCAATTTTCCGTTAATAAATGAAACACAATTATTATGAGTAAGGTAAAGGAGGGCATAGAGGTAACTTCATCTTTTCAACAAACGACGCCGTCAATAGCCTTCTAACGCTAAAAGCTTGAGACACCGTCCAATCCTGTCGGACCGTTGAAGCCGTTAGATACCCTTTTCAACGCCTGACTTTTTTGGTCTAGTCAAAATCCATCTTATAATTCCATTCTAGGTCTCTCTCTCTCTAAAAAGCATTCCAATTCAATCTGTGATTTGGATACTTATTGAGTGAGAATTAGGAGTTTGATTAAGCATGTCCAAGTCTGATTCTGATTCATCGTCTCATGGCACCGAGTACAAGAACTTCAGGCAAATCACCCGTGAACGTAACTCTCTCTACTCTTACTTTTTCAACTGTGATTTTAGCTGTTGTAGCCATCTGTGTTATGTTGATCCAGAATTGTTGATTCAATTGCCTGTACACAAAGCTATGTCACGTAGTTTCACGAACAATGAACAGTGATGATTGAGAAAAGCTTGTAAAATTTAGGACTATATGGAAGGGCAATTGCTTGAATTGGCTTGGTTTTGAAAGTGTTTGGTTGCTTCAAATTATTGCCCGAATTTCTGGATGCTAGCTAATAAGAGGTTTTGGGCGTTAAGGAGAAAAATTATAGAGTGTGGGGATATGCTATTTATTTTACTTACCAAACATTGGGTGTGTTTGGTTTGGCTTTGTAGGGTGATTTTGGGAAATTTTTTCTAAAAGACTTGTTTGGTTTGTAATTTTTTCAAAACAAATTCCAAGATCATTTTATCTCTCTTACACGTCAATCACTCACTTTTTCTCTCTCCTCTCTCATTTTTAATCATTTTTTCTCTCACACACATCTACTTAATTATAATAAAATATCAAATCATTCCAAACTTCCAAACCTTAAAGCTACTTTTAAAATACACAACCAAACAAACCAAAAAAATTTCTAAACTCTCTCCGCAAAACAAATTTTAAAAACTACTATCTCAGAACCAAACCAAACATAACATGTGTTTCCATGGAAGTTCATTTGCCACAAATTGATGTAGATGCCAGTGATGTGTAAAAGAGATAATTGACTAATGATTATAGAAGATATGAGATAATGAGAGACAATTGCATTAGATATTCTAATAGACTGTCCAGGTTATTGGGTTTGAAAAGTGGGTTTAACTTTTAGGCTAGAGTAGCACAACTATTTATATTTGTTTGATATTACTAGAAACTATTATGGTACATTCCTTATTTATTTTTATCATTTATTTTGAATTTAAATGTACAGGGTTATTGTATGAAATGCTTCGATCAACCAAAACTGGGGACTCAAAATCGACGTGGAAGGTATTTGCAACTTGCAATAAAAATTTCATTTGCAGTTTGAAGACACGTTCTCTTGCTTATCAGATTATCTCAAATATTTTGATGAAATCTGCCATGTTTATTAGATTTTGAAACCATAAAATTGTTATTTCTGGTAATAATATCTACAGATTGTTTCGGTGTCAATCGTATTGTTGCATAAGGTGACAGATTGTTTCGGTGTCAATCGTATTGTTGCATAAGGTTTAAAACACATAAGCTAAGAAGCACCGACACGCCAAGATTGGTGCCATGTACATGTCTGACACTGGCGACACATGTGTCCATATTTCTGACACGCCTTAGGACACCTCTATAGATTTTTTTTTTTGCTTTTTTATAATAATTGTAGAAAACTGATTTGGGGTCAAAGTAAAATATGCACAAATAAAGAAGGAAAGAGTTAAAAAAAAAAATGCACATACATATACATGGATGCCTCTCATATCTATGTATCCTAAATTTATATTTATATCTATATGCATAGTAAATAAAAAATATAAAAAAATATAGTTTTTTGTCATATTCTTGTTATGTTTGTGTCCTAATTTTTTGAGAATCGTTGTGTCTCCTATCCGTGCTTCTTAGCATATAAGCATTGGACAACCAATTTCTGTGGTTCTTTTTCTGTAATCAAGTTAACAAACCGAGATGGTCCTTATCCTAAACTCTTATTCTTGTCCTTTGCCACTTTGAGTCCCCTCTTCCACCACTATCTCTTTCCTGCAACAGCCTTTCTCTTCCCTGCTATCCATTTCAACGGGCACTTCTACAATGGGTAGACTTCAACATTATACCAATAATTAGGATAGGTCTTTTAGTGTCCTTCTTCAAACTACTTGTGGAAGAAAATAAGTAGTGAAAAAAGTTACGGTAGCCATTGTAAGGTCTGCACTGTTTCTGGTGGCAGTTTTTGTGTTAAAATGTAGGTTTTTTATTATTTATTTTATTATTTTTTAAATAAATAAATAAAATGAACTGAATGACTGAAGATTCATATCTATACTTTTATGTGGGCAATTTTGGCAACTAAGGATTAAGTAGACATTTGTAGGTAAGATTTTTGGAAACTACAATAAGCAATTGAAGGTTATTAAAGCTTACATATTCCTATCTATTAGACTGAAGGTTTGGACAATATTACTAGTTAAGGGGAAATGGGATTCAAGGGGCAATATAGTTATTTGGCAGGATTCTGATTGCCTAGCACTTTATAAGTATCTTCAAATTGAATTGATGTTTATACATATATATATATATATTTTTCTGTTATTTAAATGTTTTTATGCGAGTTAGATGATGGTAACTTTATTTTAGGCTATGGACGTGGTTTTTCTGCTTCTTTGTTGGCCTTTTGTTTGTGATCTCACTTAATTTATTGGGCCAATTCATTTGATCTAGTGAGTTTAAATAATATTCAAAATCCTGGTCCTCTTTGGCTGGCTGCAGACCACAAAGTTTCCTTTGTTTCCAAGTTAAGTCTTCTATGTAATGTAATGTGTTGGCTTTGTTTTCAATCAGGGAATGAAGAATTTTTAAAGCCTACTTTCCGTGAGTGCCTAGGAACCCTAGTTTTAATTTCCCAGCCTTTGCTTTCATATTATTTTCTTCTCTTTCTTGTTTTATAATTTGGAATCTATCATCTTTTGGGCTGGTCACTTGTTTCTGTAAACTGTAAGTGTTAAGTTCCAATTATTAGACATTTTTTTTTAAAGGGATACAGGTAATAAAGAATCCACTAAAATCATAGGGGAAATAGCATTTTTAATGGGAAGTAAAAAAGATAATATCATTTAGTGGTAAAGCTTATGGAGTTTTGTTTTTAATGTTGCAAAGTTAGTATTTATTTGATATTATTTTTTCTACTTTCCACTAAAATAATATTTTCCCAAAATCATATAGGAGGCAACCATTTACATGCAGACACAGGTATGCAAGGGTAATCTTACTAAGCTATATAATAGGCTTATGTAAATCACCCAAAACGTCCACATAAGAAACCATAGACAATGAAAAAGATCAGCCAAATATATTGCAAACCCAATGCAAAATATTTCAACTTGTGCTTCTGTAGCTTCTCTGTCAAAAGACCTTGTAATGTGCTCCGATTAAAAGAAGCCATTTAAGTAAAGGCAGAAGAGAGATTTTCCACATTTTCCAAAAACTGTCTTGTAGAACCCCTACTCCAACTTGTCAGCATGTCACCACCCAAATCATTGATGGATATAAGTTGGTGAGAAACAATCAGGTGCAAGGTTCTTAGGGATATAAGATGGAGGTAGGGATAAGGAAAGAGAGCAGTTCTAAATGGCTATACTGACATGATAAAGACGTGTGAACAACTAGCAGCAAAATAAAATGAATTTCCTTTGATGTGTATTTACATTAGGGACTTAGGAATGAGGTTAGCCCGTAAACTTTTTATAATGGTGGATGGATTAGCTAATTAGGAACATCAAAGGTTGCCCAACAAAGAAAAGGGGCTTGAAAATAGAGGGTTTTCAAGGTGAGGAACAGTTCCCAAGTTGGATTTATAAGATCAGCTTGGACTAGTTGGGTAGATAGTGGTGGTGAAGTCTAAAGTTTGCTTCATTGATTCGCAGGGTGAGTCAGTCCAATGGAGCTTTTGGGAAGGGTAGAGGCCGAGTCCAACTCATGTCTTGGAAAAACAGGCATTCCTCATGGCATATGCTATTTTGTTCTATGACAAGGAGGATGAAACTAAATTATTGGTAGATGGGAGATTAGAATTATGGAGTAAAAATTTAAAATTTTTGGGTCTTAATTTTGGTATCTCCTAGGAGATAGCCATAATGGACGTGTGCCAACATATGAGAAAGATACAGTAGTGTAATTTAATCAAAAGTTTGGCCCTAACCAAGCAAAAATGGGAAATTTGGATCCATGTTGCCTAGTACAAATTGTTGTTATGAAGGCTTTTTGGTTTCCTTAAAGATTCTTCATTATGGATTATTAAATATGTTATGTTAGGGCAAGAATGTTATGTTTAATTTTCAAAAAAAAAAAAAAAACAAGTTTAGGGAAAGGGATAGCTTCATGGAATAATACATATACACAACAAGAATGAACTCTGTTATTTTTCTTTTTCTTTTTAATCTCTTTGGGTGTTTGGAGATGGGTTGAGTCCAAAAATGAATGGAGCATTTTTTTTTGGTAATCTTATTAATTACTGCTTATAATAACTTTGTACATCTACATTGTGTATTCACTTGCAATTTCTTCCTTTTTTCTTGACACACATGCTCATTTGTGTGCATTTTAATATGTTGAACATACCTATGTACAAACATGGTTTGGACTTTTGAGGGGGAGCAGAGCAATGGGAAAGAGGAACACATGGTTTTGGGATTTGTATGGTGTGTTTCACTTTAAATTCTATATGATTAAAAAATTGGTCTTGGTTTTGATACTTAGTAATTGAGGCGTAGGCGGGTTGGATTGGTTCTAGATGTAACCTTTAGTTTTATTTGCACAAAGTGGTTGCCCTCAAACTCATACCCACATTTCACTCTTGGTAGCTTGAACTTTTTCCATTGTGCCAAGCGAAGGCTCCACTTATAGTTCTTCATGATATGCATGAAAATGTTAGTTATTATACTATTTTTATGTTCATATATGACATATAATTCAGAGGATAAAGTATAATGCTAGAAAGGGCCATTTAGTGGATATATTACATATTGGTACAGATGGGGGCAAAAATGTATTAAAATTTGTACATAAATATAAAAAAATATAGGTGTTAAAATTACAGAAAGCAATTACTTAAAAAACCTATAGTTTGTTAAATATTAATTTGATGTCTCATTTATATTTAAACAAATATATTTATTTAAAATTATAAATTTTTTAAACATTGATTTCTGGCAGAAACTAACTTCAACAAGCATTGAATCAATAAAATGTATTGCTTCAAAGTTTGTAAACGTGTTGATGCATTAGTGGTAGCAGATGCTGTCACCATAGCAGGCAGTGCCTTGATAGCCGGTTCTGCTGAACTGGATCCAGTTTGGATGGGCTATTGGTCCAACCGCCGGTTTGAACGGTTTAGCCAAAATAAGCTGGCTAATGATTTGAAATGGTTTAGATAAGGCTGACTGGACCAGAACCCAGCCTGGGTCCAGTCCGGTTTTCAAAACCATGTTGTGCAGTGTAGAGAACTGCTATTCTCAGTTTTTCCTTTTGATAAGTAGAACTGCTACTCTTAGTTGATGCAGCTACTCTTAGTTGATGCAATGCCTTTGTTTATCTCTCTTCATCTATTTTTTTTTTCTCTCATGTAATTTCTTCTTACCCAATATTATTTTGTTCCTCTCGTAATATCTTCTTGTTCAACATTGTTCTTTATAGTCTTATAAAACTATTGTTCTCTTTTTACTTGAAGCTTACATATTTCAGACTTGTTAGTCTACTCTCTTACCTGTAGGTGCTCATCATGGACAAAGTGACTATTAAAATACTGTCTTACTCATGCAAGATGGCTGATGTCACAGAGGAAGGAGTTTCATGTAAGACATTAAAGGCTGGTCTTGACAAGTTTGAATCCATTTTCTTCTCTATATAATTGTCGAGATGTTTCTGCCAAATCCATGCATGTTGTTGTTTGTGTGCATAAATTAATACTTCATCATGTCCATGCTCTTGGTTGTTTTCAAAATTTTTTTTTTTTTTATTTCAATTGCTTTTATAGCATGATTTAATGCTTTAAGCAAAATTTTAAGATCCTGCAATGTTTTTCTATATCTTTGAAGATATATATATATATATATATATTCAAGTAGAATTAATCTATTGCAATTTCATTGGTGGCATGGCATTTTGAGAAGCGCTTTTCCTAAACGGTTTGAGTGTTGACTCCTTGAACGTTTGGTGATCACCATTGCAATGGTTTGGTGGTCTTGATTATGGTAATTAATGCTGAATCTTACAAACCAATCATATATGTTTCATTGCAGTCTTGAGGAATGTAGGCTGGCCTATGTAATTGGATCTCTTTAGGTGAGGTGGGGCCTGGTTGACCGGGAAAATTCATTATTGTCGTCACGTCATATGATATTTACGTAGAGAAATCATTCAAGTGTCAGTATATTTAAAATTTGGTGTAGAGAGATCATTTTATCTTATGTTATAAAGTTTTTGAATATATCCCCAGCTCTTGCATCCATTTTAAGGAAAACATGAAATAGATGTAAGAGAAGAAATTTAAAATGCATGAGTTTATTTTGATATAAATATTTGATATTTTCTAAAGTGGGAGCATAATTACTTGCAGATTGTTTATAAAGGAGCATCTGATATACTAACAAACAGATTGATCTAAATCAGCCGTGTAATGTTTCAGTTTCACCCTCAAACAACATCTTAATCTACCCCCCACCTGTGTGCCTATTAGTATTTTGGAGTTGGAAAAGTTGCAATTTCCTTGAGGATTTTTTTGGGAATTTTTTAGACTAGGGTATATTAGTAATTTTCTCTTTGTTTGGCGTCCATGTTAAGGAGTATGGTTATCGTTTTGTTTAGTCCATTAATTATTTCGAAATAGTTAGATCTTAATCAGTTTAGAATTTTTTTTATTGTGTTTTCACAAAGTTCCTATTTTGAGATGTGAAAAGTTGACTAGTTCTACAATAATTGTATCATTGGCTTTTTGAGATGTGAAAACAACCTATACTGACATATTTGCCTTTTGTGATTATTGAAATGTTGGTATTGGTATTAAGAAATTGCCATTTATACTTTTTCTGCAGTGGTGGAAGACATATACAGGCGAAGGCAGCCATTGCCCACCATGGATGCCATATACTTCATCCAGCCTACTAAAGAAAAGTAATAGTTTCTTTCTAATTTTCTATACATATGATTTTGATTATTTGTACCTAAATTTCATCCAAGCTGTTTGGGTTTGGTTGGTGAACAATAGTCTTAGTGATTTAAGCATTCGTTTGAGTGTTCACTAGTATATTGGTTCTTAGAAGAAATATTACTTGTAAATGGTAGTGTACATAAATTTATCTCTCAACTAAATATTGGACTTCGACTCTTTATTAACATGCAGTGTTAATATGTTTTTGTCTGACATGACTGGAAGAGCAGCTCTGTACAAAAAGTATGTGACGTACCTTTATTTTATTTTATTTTGTTTTCATAATTTGATTGTTGTTCGTGCAATTTAATATTGTGGAAGTTGTAATTAGGTTTCTTAAGGATTTTTAATCACTTTGTTTTTGTGGTCATTGTTTTGTTTCTAGGGCATTTATTTTTTTCAGTTCACCTGTTCCACGAGAATTGGTTAATCATATCAAGAAGGATGGTAGTGTGTTACCTCGCATAGGTGCCTTGAGAGAGGTTACAGTTTCTGTGTTCACTTCAAGATCATTCTTGGTTCTGTGACTTTATTGAAACAATCTGCATGTGTCAAATTATTATTATTTTTTTGGTACAAGTCGAGTTGGTCCATTTCTTCTCATTATGGTGTGAAATATGCAGATGAACTTGGAGTATTTTGCTATAGATAGTCAGGTATGCTATGCTGCTGCACTGAATTTTATGTGAATTTTTAACAATCTGATTTCTTTCCAGCAACATTTCTTTATCTTTTAGTTTTCCTAAATATATTCCACAAATTGTTCATAGCATAGAGAGCATACTGACAGGCATTATTGGGAATTTGGGATGACAAATATCTCTATGCAGTGGCTAATGACTAGAAAATGTTATTCGAGTTTTTTTGTGTGTGCGTGCGCACGCGTGTGAATTATTGAATGTGAAGTGCGATCTACTCGATTATTTGTCATTTCCCACGAGTCAACAATTTCAATTGTTGGAATCTATTGTCATCTACCAAACAGCATTCATAGGATACTGACACGAGTTATTGGGAATTGGGATGACAAATATCTCTATGCAGTGGCTAATGACTAGAAAATGTTTTTCAAATTTTTTTGTGTGCGCGCGCGCGCGCACGTGTGAATTATTGAATGTGAAGTGCAACCTACTCGATTATTTGTCATTCCCCGTGAGTCAACAATTTCAATAGTTGGAATCTATTGTCATCTACCAAACGGCATTCATAGTTAGAATCGTGTTCCCTGACCAAGGGCAATTTCCATGTGCACAATTTTTTAATTTTGTGAGAGCTTCATTCTTTAGAAAACTTTCATTAAAAAAAAAAAAAGGGTAAAATTTGATATCAGAACTGATTGTGATGAAAAGTAATGAAAATCATTGATCGAACAGGACTTAAAAATTGTTTCAGTTTTGTTGTCTTATGTTATGTATAAAGATGAGTATATGCCTTATGGTATGAAGATATTCACTTATGGCTTACAGAAAGGAAAGAATTGCTTATTACCACCATTAATGCTAAATGAATTGGTCTTTTTCTATAAAGCATGGGTGCCGGTACGGATACGGGTATGGGTATGATACAAGTACGCCGATACGCTAAAATCTAAAAGGTATGGGTACGGCTAGGGTACGTTAAATATTTATTTATTTTTAAATTTATAGCTGAACATTCCACCTACAAATTAAAGTTCAAAACAATAGCTATAAAGAGAAATTATAAACTCAAAATAAATCAATATTCAACAATAAAAATACAATACTATACAACAATAAGTGGAAGAGGGCAAAATTACTCAATAACTGTGTAAAGAGTTGGTGGTTCCAAATTACATAAAATTTTTGAAGATGATTAAGGAGAAATAAGGCCATAGACTTGCATCAAATTCCAATTTCTGAAATGAAAAAAAAAAAAAAAAAACTGTTGTGGAGTACCCATGGAGGACCCACGGAGTACCCACCCCGCATCCATTGAGTACCCACCGCGTACCCAACCGTACTTGGTGTACCCACCGCATACCCTTGGCATACCCGGTATGCGTGCAGCCGTACCGGTATGCATACCCTCACCCGGTACCCGTGCTTCGTAGGTCTTTTTAAGGTTTTCAGTAATTCCTGTTGTTTGCTGGTTGGTCCTTCTGTTCTGCATCTTCAATTTTTACCTCTTTGTTCTTTTTTTAAAATTTTTTATTATCTCATAGTTGTTAAGTTTGGAAAAATCGTAGAAATGAGGGGGCAGTTTCAAGTTTTGATTTTGAATGGCTTAAAGTTGTAAAGAACTGAAGATAGACCACCAAGATACTATTAATTGGGGTCCTACCATCAACCCCTTGGCATATATGAGTCACACTATACACGTTCCATTACTCTCCACCTCATATTTCAGAAGCCATTATTTTTTATCCTGTAGTGATACTTTCAAGTTGATACTTAAAATTCCTCACCTTTGCCAGCACTAATAAAATCCTGTTTAACCCTATCAATTGTAAAAGCAAAATAAGAGAAAGAGCGAAAAGGTTAAAAATTAGTCATAGAGCTGTGACTATGTGTTAATCTTTCCATGCTTTATGAAGAACACGACTTTCAAGTTGTGAGGTTCCTGTGGCATCACTGGGTAATATTGCTCCAGAGTTGTTTTCTTCGTAGGGATTTCTCTGCTAGATAAATCATAAAGTTTGGAAGTGCAAGATGGCTCTTCTATCAAACAATTATTGTCTCACTGTTATTCTGAATGCTCAGCAATTCAATCCATGCATTTTCCCTCACTGCTATTCTGTTCTCTTTTTTGTTGCTATCAAAACATTTTATTAGATACCATGGGTTTTCTTAACTCTAGTTTTAACCAAATAGGGATTTATCACTGATAATGTGATGGCTTTAGAGGATCTGTTTGGGGATGAGGAGAGTACTCGTAAAGGTGATGCATGTTTGAATATGATGGCCACCCGCATTGCTACAGCTTTTGCTTCATTACGGGTATGTAAATGAAGGCTCTTAATTTTTAATTCATACTGTATTAAACAATTCTAAGCTGTGTGAGCTGGTGTTTTTCAGGAATTTCCTTTAGTACGCTATCATGCAGCCAAATCCCTTGATCCAACCACAATGACAACATTTCGTGATCTAATTCCTACAAAGCTTGCTGCTGGTGTTTGGAATTGTCTTATGAAATATAAAGCTGACCTCCCTAACTTTCCCCAGACAGAAACATGCGAGTTGCTTATTGTGGATAGATCTGTAGATCAGGTTCTTGGATGCTTGTGTTGGTTAAAATGTGCCTACTGACTTGGGTGTTATTTGATTGTGCTGAATATGTTTATTTTGCATTGCTAGATTGCTCCTGTCATACATGAATGGACATATGATGCAATGTGCCATGATTTATTAAATATGGATGGAAATAAATATGTGCATGAGGTAAGTTCTGTTCTAAATTTCATTTGTTGGTGAGTGTCCTTCATCTACTGCATATCACAAGAAGGCAATTATACTTCTTAGATCCCAGGCAAAGCAGGTGGTGTACCTGAGAAAAAAGAAGTCCTTTTGGAGGATCACGATCCTATTTGGTTGGAGCTTCGCCATGCACATATAGCAGATGTATGTCTCATTCAAATAACTTTTATGTTTGAACAGAAACATCACGGATGTTGTTTGATCATTGATTACCATGTCAGGCTAGTGAACGGTTGCATGAGAAGATGATAAGTTTCGTATCAAGGAATAAAGCTGCACAAATTCACCATGGTTCAAGGTCCGTGTATTTGCTATTTCGATATCCTTTCATTATTAACGGTGACACGAGTAGTCATGATGAATGTTGTATTCTGTTAGTGGTCTGTGTAGTATTTGTTAGATTAACTACATATTCATTGTTAGACCCATATCCTAATAGCTGAAGCTTTTAGATGAGTTCGTGTGCAACAATTTACTTTTTAGGTTATGAAAAATTACATTTTTTTTTTTGATAAGTAATTAATTTTATTAGAAAAGCATCAAGAAGATGCAAAGAATACAATGAACCTAGAACTCCTAACCAATAATTTTATCCAAAAAATCTATTAAAACAAATATATCCGGGTCGGCCCGTGACTCCAACCAAGTGCATAAAGTAAGCAACAAGCGATTCTCAAGCCAAGACACCGAATGAGTAATGTCGAGAAACGTCTGCTGATTCCTCTCCAACCAAACCAGCCACATTAAACAAAAAGGCACGACGGACTAAATCCGCTGACGTCGACGACCAACATGAGCACCTCGCCAACCCCATAACATCTCCAACACCCCCTTGGGCTGCACCCAAACAGCCCCAAACAAAGAGCATACCAACCCCCATAGACGAGATGCAACATCACAATGAAGAAATAAATGATCCACCGACTCTGCATCCGTACAACACATACAACAGCGATTCACTAAGACATGACCTCGACGAACCAAATTATCAATAGTAAGATTCCGGCCCAAAACAGCTGTCCACAAAAAGAACACTACCTTAGATGGAACGCCCGGAACCCAAATGCTTCGCCAAGGGAACAACGTAGTCACCCCCCTCACCAGACTCCGATAAAAGGATGACACTGTAAAGAGGCCTTTTGTACCCAACGTTGTCCACACCACCCTATCCTCCCCTCGCCCAACGGGCCCCAAACCATATAAAAACCCGACATCTTCTCCAATTGAGTAGCCTCCCAATCCTGAATTGGCCGCCGCAGGCGGACGTCCCAGACTACCACCTCTCCATTTCCCAAACAGTTCGCCAGAGTCACCTGAGGCTCCGCCGCAATGCCAAAAATCAAAGGGAATCGATCTTCCAACAACACCTCCCCACGCCATTTATCCCTCCAAAACCTAACCCTCTCCCCATTTCCCACTCGGAAATGCACCCGATCCCAAAACTCATCCCTCCCAAACCAAATCTCTCTCCATAATCCCCGCCCATGAATTCTTGTAACTTTTCCCGTCCTCCAATCCCCGCTTTCTCCGCCAAACTTTGCAGCAATCGCCCTTCGCCAAAGCCGGTCTCGCTCCCACGCAAAACGCCAAAACCATTTACCCAATAAGGCTTGATTAAAAGTAGCCAAACTCCGGACCCCCAAACCACCCGCGTCCTTTGGACAACAAATCCGATCCCATCCCACCAAATGATAACGGAAAACTTCCTCTCCACTCCTCCACAGAAAATCTCTCTGAAGCTTCTCCAAACGTCGAGCCACCGAAATCGGAATTACCTATACCGACATAAAGTAAGTTGGAACACTACTCAGCACACTCTGAATCAAAGTTAAACGTCCCCCTTTTGACAAATATTGCTTTTTCCAACCTGCCAGCCGCCGCTGCACTCTCTCCACCTACTCAGCACATTTTTATTTATATACAGACATTCATACATGGTATATAGATTGTCGTATCCTTAACGAATTCGTATTCTACTTTCTTAGAAATCATGTCGTACCCATATCCTGCATCTATATCCATGCTTCATAGTTGATTAACTACTACCTCTTCCAAACCCTACAGTAGCTTCGTGCACCAAATGAAACCTTTTTTTTTAACGAGTCACAATATGAGAGAGATGAGTCCAACTTTTACATCTCATTCTTTGAACTGTTATATCACCTTGTATAGTGTTACACTGTTTTGGGTATAACTCAACCCCTAAAAAGCTAGCTGTTGAGGTGAGGGTGCCCTCATGTTTATTTATTGCACATTACTTTTATAGCCAGGCAATGTAGGACTTTGGTTCACAGCCTCCCTCATGAGCACTGTGCTCATTCGGCAACACCTACCGCATGCAAGCTAGGGACATGCACCCTATCCATCCCTTGATCACCAATTATTCAAAAAGCTTAAGTTGTTAGAAAATAAGCCCAACAATGTATATCAAGCTATCTAACACCCTTCCTCACATGTAACCTTGTCTTGCATGTGAAGATCCAAACATTCGTATATGGAGAAAAAATGCAAACGGGGACCAATTACAAATGGAAAGATTTGAACCCAAACTTTCCCCAACCTGAGCTATGATACTATGTAAAGTTACCAATTGTTCCAATATTAGAAAATAGACCCAATAATGTATCTCAAGCTATCTAATAGATAGATCTTGCCATGTATAATTTTTTTTGTGATTCAAACTTCTCTAATGCAACCCGGCAATGCACACAACACGCCCTTCCTAGGACATGACTGCAGTACCTTTTCCTTCAACATTTTGACTTTGATGTTGTTGGGGTGGGACCATTGATGTTTTTTTTTTTTCCATTGTGATTGATTTCCATGTGTGTAATTATTATTTTACATGTTTATAATTTAACTGAATTATTGTTGAGTTGGTTTCCATTCCTACATTTGAGATCTTGGTTGGACCCCGTGAATTTGATTATGTACTTATTTTTGTGAACTTTTGTTTTCATGGGGTAATCATGAAGGTGCAAATGTAGATGTTGAATTTTGGGACTTTTATCAATGTATCTTCTTATGCTTGCTTAACCTTTGATTGGGAAAATATTCATACTATTGTATATATTTATGATATTTCTCACTTTGAGGACTTTTTGTATAGAGATGGTGGTGAAATATCTACTCGTGATTTGCAAAAGATGGTTCAAGCGTTGCCACAATATAGCGAACAAATTGACAAACTTTCTCTTCATGTAGATGTGAGTTCCTTGTGCATATAAACATCATATGTTTTGTTTTCCTTTTCGGAAATGGACCTTTTGAAATGGATTTACCTTTTCATTGTATTTACTCCTTATGCACTTTAAATATAAGACATGTTTACTAGCTAGGGTTGAATTCACTCATGTTTATATATTATATAGTGTTAGATTGAAAATTAAAATGCTGTTAGATTTGCAATTGGTGATCTGTACAACTCTATGCTTGGATGTGACATTCGCTTCCCCCACTTTTATGTCTCTTTTCCTAATTGATCGCTTCTTCATAGAAGGAGTTTTACTTTTGATTTCGTAAACAAGTTTGTGGTTTCAATGCTCTTCACCAAGTGGTCCTGCCTGCAAATTAACACCTTAATACTTGGGTTGCACACACCATTTTTGGATATTCAGATCCATCTAGGTCATATATTTTTTGAATCATAGGTGAATGAGAAATTTCTCATACATAATGATAAATTTTCAGGTATAGAAAATTAGAGAACACAATTGTCTAATCGTCACTGCAATATAGTATTCCTTGAGTGCTTTCTGAGAGTATTATATTACATTAAATCTAATGTACCCATGATACTTCAGTTTCTGTTTACGCACAAAGAAATACTTTCTCAATTTAAATGTACAATTTATGTATAAGTCCTCTACTAGGAAAAATATTAGCATTTTTGCGAAATTATATTAGGAATGGGTTCATGCTAATGTGGTTTTATTGATGTAGATTGCTGGGAAAATCAATAATATTGTCAAGGAGATGGGGCTTAAAGAACTTGGGCAACTAGAGCAGGACCTTGTATTTGGAGATGCAGGAACTAAAGATGTAATTAACTTTCTAAGAACAAACCAGGTGAGAACTTGTTATTGCAAAATGCATGTGATTAAACCTTGTATGTATTTAAGTAAATTGCCTCTGTTATGCAGGATGTAACACGTGAAAATAAGTTGCGGTTGTTGATGATATATGCGGCATGTTATCCTGAAAAGTTTGAGGATGACAAAATCACAAAGTTAATGGAGGTAGGCCCCTTTGTCACTATTTTCTAATTTCATTGCCATCTCTTGTTCCCTTCGAGGTCAATCAGTTAACCTATTGTAACTTTCTTTCTTGAATTACTGTTTGGGTCTAAAACATGGATACAATTCAGCCATCAAACTCAATTTGAAGTAGAGAATGAATTTTTTTTTCTTCTTCCTCCCTACATAGCCTATTGAGGGCTTTGAATCTTGCTGAAGTTGCATGAGTTTGTACTATTTGGAGTCAGGAAGTAACATTCCCGTGCATTTTTAGAAAGTTTTATATACTGATTAACAAAGTACCATAGATGCATATGTTGACTTGAAAATGTTACATATTTTTGGCTTTTCTTAACTTCATGCGTCGCATAGCAATTTGTGAAATCTGTAGGACACCGGTTTATCATCACACCTCACATAAGTTAAATTAACACGGTCATAGTCAATGCCTAATATTTATGTTTTGACTGCCGACTGTCATTTTCATATAGGCAAAACATGAAAGTTTTGATTTTTGGGCAAAACATGAAACTCAATTTCTTTTCAATTATGATAATTCGTCTGAGCCTTTTTAGTGGGCAACTGCAAAAGGTTGGATCTCACGATAGTAGATCTTCCATGGGTCAGCTTTACAGACTTACCTATTTTTCCTTTCAGTTAGCAAGATTACCACCCGAGGATATGAATGCTGTGAATAATATGAGATTGCTTGAGGGATCATCAGATACCAAGAAAAGCTCAACAGGTGCTTTTTCTCTGAAATTTGATGTTCATAAGGTAAACGTGATTGGGTGTTATAATTTTGTCGTGCTTGACAGATTGTATGTCAAACATATAATCTCACACCTTTTCCCCATAATTTCTTTTTAACTTCAGAACAAGCATGCTGCTAGAAAAGATCGTACTGGTGAACAAGTGATGTGGCAGCTGTCGCGCTTTTACCCTATGGTAGAGGTAAATTCCAGATTAAATTTATTTCCTCCTACATTGCAGGGAAGTCATATCATTATCTGATGGTGCACAATTCTGAGATATTCCCGGATATCCTTCTGTTTCTTCCTAACATATCCATGATCGTAAAGTATTTTTTTAATCTCGAACACATTCAATAATTATCAGATACTCTGGATGTAAGAAATAATGTATAGAGAAAGAGAGAGAATAAATTGTATGTATTATTATTGATTGATATATTGATATATTACAATGATTCATGATTCCTATATATAGAAGAGGGTGAGTGTGTAGTAGGTAAGGAGTAGGTGAAGTGGAGGTGGTAGTGGTGTAGTGGGTTAGGTTTAGTGGAGTAGGTGAGGTGGTAGTGGTGTAGTGGGTTAGGTTTAGTGGAGTAGGTTTAAGTGGGTGAAGTAGGTGATAGGTTTTAACACTGGATACATATCCAATGTATAGTTGATGTAGAGATTTTTCCTTTCTAGTAATCACAAGAAAAATATGAGGTGTTTTATATCTTGACCCATAATTGTTTGAACCTGATGAGGATAAATCATTAAGAATTAGTGCAGGTTCTGTTAGAATGCAACATAACATCCATGTTTCTTTCATGAAAATATAATATTTCAAATTAGGAACTTAGGATATTTTAATAAATTCATGAAATTGATTGTTTTATACAGTACACACGCATATAATGTTGTGCTCCTGTTGCATCTGTATCCTTTTTTTCCTGAGTATTGGTATTGGTCGGTCTATATTGAGTGTATTTGTATCTGTGGTCACTTTCTAGATTGCAGTGTGGGGGTATTCTTATAATTTCTATTCTATATTGTTTTTTACTTTAATTATGGGTTTTTCTCTGTATTAATATTTTACTTAGTTTGATCGCCCATAAAAAATTGGTGTATTTTTTGGATACCTCTTACCAATTACATTATCTGCAAATTTATCAAAGTCTTACCTGTGCCATCGCTTATTGTTTTGCGATGGAGTTGTTTGAAGAGGACTATGGTGCAAGTTGTTTGTGGATGAATTGTTATATAAATAAAAAGTAGAAGGGGATACAGCAAAAAAATACATTTTTATTTGTTAACTTTTATTCGCAAAACCGCAAATACTAATTCAACATGAAAAAAAATCACTCAATCTATAATTGAACATTATTCAACGTACAAAATACTATTCCATCAATCATAAACCATTACGTCATAGATGTAAAAAGAATTGAATAGATCATCCACATAAAAAATACATGAATCCCCACTATTTTGATTAAGAAGTAATAATATGGTGTTACCATTTATCAGAAGTTTGCACAATTTTTTTACAAAACCAGCGCAAATGGAAGCAGATAATAGGAACATTAGAAAGCTGAGAGGGGAAACCGATTTTTTCAAGGAGATGTGCTTTTTGACTCTCTCAACTGGGAGGTTATTATGGCAAATGACTTGTAAACACATGCATTACACTGTTCCAGCCAAATTTTAAAACCTCTTAGATAACCAGCAATAGGAATAGTCATGTTATGATTTTTGCAATATCGTATTCATGCTTCTACAGATGGAAGTGATTTCCTGATTGAAGTTTTTGTCATTTTTTAGGAACTCATTGAAAAACTTAGCAAAGGTGAGCTGCCAAAGGATGACTATCCATGTATGAATGACCCAAGTCCAACTTTCCATGGGACGTCCCGGACTGCTTCAGTACAAACTAATCAAGCTCCTGCTCCTCATTCGATGAGACAAAGACGGGCAACATGGGCTCGGCCTCGAGACTCTGAGGATGGATATTCAAGGTATATTTGTGGCTACTGGCTCTTCATTGGTTTCAGTAGTTTTCCGAGTTGAATCATACAATAACTGCCTGGTTAATCCGTGACCAAACTTTGACCTATACTTGATCTATTGGTTCATTCTCGTTTTGCTCGCATTGTCATTTCATTCTGGAATCTTATTTTTCTATTACTTGCCTGTTTGTAGTGATTCAATTCTAAGACATGCATCTAGTGATTTCAAGAAGATGGGCCAACGTATTTTTGTATTTATAGTTGGTGGAGCAACTCGATCTGAGGTATGATTTTATTTACTCCCTCCGTCCCAAAATAATTGTACTTTTTGGAGAATCTAACTTTTTTTTGGTAGTACAATTATTGTACTTTTGAAATATTAAATTTCCAACATTGTCTTTTGATGGTACATTTTTTGAGAAATATCAATTGTCATAATTGTACATTTTGTGTTGTTAATGAATTTAAAAGAAGGGAAAAAATAGGAAATTCATATTATTTGTCTTTGATTTTTGAAAAGGGATTAATATTTTGGGACAATAAAAAATGAAATAAGAGACTAATATTTAGGGGCGGAAGGAGTATTTATGTTCTGACAGAGTTCAGGATTGCTGCTCTTTTCTGGCATCTATTTGTTCTTAATATGAGATATTTCTTGTTTCCAGCTACGGGTTTGTCACAAGCTGACAGCAAAGCTCAACAGGGAAGTTGTTTTAGGGTCCTCTAGTCTTGATGATCCCCCGCAATTTATTACGGTATGTAGCTTCTTTCTTTTGTATAGCAGTTCAAATTGTTGGGTACTTAAGTGTCGAATAGTTTTGATATATATTGTTGGATTCATTTTTTTAAAGTTTTTTTTGGGACAATTGGTGAGCGATGGTATCAGAGCTCATGTTGGGAGAGATCTTAGGTCCAAGTTTCTTTCTTTGCACTTGCAGTTACATGAAAAGTACCTTCATTTTTTTTTTCTTCTTTTTTCCAGAATTCAGTAAGAAGAAGAATTCTTTTTCTTCAAATCAGAAGAGTGAAAAGAATTTCAAATCATATTAATTAATCCAAAACAGTAGGTAACTGAAATCATTTATTTTTATATTGTTAATGAAATTAGCCAGACTTTGGATTACTTATCTGTTTGTCACACAATATTATTATTATTTTTTTTTGAATTTCAGATCGAAAGAGTTTTTCCTAACAATTTTTTTCTTGTTTTTTTAATGTTTAATATCCTTTCCTTTCTAAATATTTTTACAAATAGATTTTTTTAATATCATGATGTTTGTTTTATGTACCTACAAAAACAGCTACAAAGTTTCATAGTTTCGAGAAATTACATATGCCTTTCTAATGATATTGGATTTGCAGAAACTGAAGTTGTTGACAGCACACGAACTCTCAATGGATGATGATCTTTACATGTAAAAACAGTGGTGGAGCAAGAAGCTGGAAACACAAATGTTTCCCAGGCACGTTTTCTATTTTGTAATCATAGATCGATATAATTTTTCATTAATTCCATTTTTTAACATCAAGGTAATTTGTCTGGTATGATTATTACCAGCTGAACAATAGGTTTTGGCATGGGTTAGTGGGCAGGGCTGAGTCCTTAAGATGCAGTTCTGTCACTTTATATCTTGTGATTTGGTAAATGTGCATATATTCTTCTCGACATTTTAACATAAGCAGTTGCATGTGATTTTTGGACTAAAGTGCGTTTCTCAAAATTTCTGTCCAAACTATTTGGAGATGCAACTCACGCATCATTGTTGAGACTTGAGAATTAAGAGAGCTTCTATTGACACATCTCACCTTCTTTTAGTTCACACACCATTTAAATTACCAGGTCCTAATAGTTGGACTTAATTTTCATCAAGTCTTATTGAAAATAAGTGCTAGTACAATCATTGCTAAAAATAATTTTTTGTGATGATTTTTTACCTATGTTGCTAAAAATTGACAATTAGTGTTTTTTTTTCCACAATTTTTATAAATTTTCGCTAAAACTTATAATTAGTGACGTTTTTCTTTGACGAATTTTTCAAACTATCCCTGAGAGTTGAAAATTAGTAACTTTTTTGTGACAATTTTTTTAAACTATTTCTAAAACATATAATTAGTGACATTTTTTGTGATAAAATTTTTAAACTGTTGTTGAAAATTAACAATTAGTGACGTTTTTTAATAATATATGATGAAAAATGTCATTTATTATCACAGGACTTATTGGACAATAAAATTTACTTAGTAGAACTTACACGTAAGTCCCTCTTTTAATTACGATTGTGTCCCTCAAGTAAGTTATCCAAAAGAAAATCCTGAAATCTAATTTGGCAGTAAACAATTCCAAACACCTCCAGCCACTATTATTATTACCATCACCCATTGCCACTGTTGCGAACCCCCTCCCACTTTTGCCAATCCCTCTCCATTCCCCTCTTTCCACCACTACCCACTCCTTTTCCCATCTCCCTTCCTCAGCCCCCTTTCTGTTAGCACCTTCTCACCAACTCCCTCCATTTCCCTTCTTTCTCCTCATCCTTCCTTCCTAGATCTAGGGTTCCAAGGTGGTGAGGCAACGACTAGGATTTTGAAGGTGATGGGAGAGTGGCAGGGAGGGTGTTGCAAGAGTGAAAGAAGAGTGGGTGAAGCTGCTGTGGGGGTGTTGGAGAGTGGCATGAGTGGGGGAGAGGCTGGGTCATGACAGTTGGGGAGGTTGTAATGGCAAAGGATGATAGGGGAGGTGTTGCAGCGGTAGGGAGTGGTGGTGATGGATACGGTTGATGGCGACGGCATGTGGTAGATGTGGGCTTGGGTTAAGATTTGAAAGTTGGAGAAGATGAAGTAATTTAGTATTAATTTAAAATTAATTGTAAATTGAGAAACAAAAATAAAAAAAAAAATAAAAAATCAAATTAAGCGTGATCTGAATTAAGTAGATGGTGTAAATTGAGAAAAATGTAAGGCGTGCAAGATAAAAATACTCTCATAATTCTTAAAAATAACAAAAATAAATAAATAAATAAATAAATTATTTTTTCTTCCTCTTTTCTAAAATCAAAGTTCATCCATACAATATATTTTCAAAATCAAATTCAAGCTACAAAAGTTGATTTACTATGGCTTTGGTCTAGCATGACATAACATTGGTTGAAAATTACAAGGAAAAAAGTTGAGATTTCTCTTTTTCTTAACCTTCATCACCTCTAATGTATTGGGATTGATTAATTTTTTATTTTTTATTTTTATTTTTCTCTTATCACTCACTGACATATATTTGTGAAAATTGTGAAAGATAAGAAAAAAATGAGTCGCATTTTTGAAATTATAATTCAAAAACAAAGTGCACAATTAATAATCATTGATACTTTCAAGTGACCAATAAAACCACCTGTTCGTATCAGGTTTTGCCTTTTGGGACTTTGGATCCTATTATGTAGTTAGTTAGTGGTTACTGAGTGGGGCTTTAAAAGTATTGCTGCCTTAAATTTATACTTTTTATAAAGTTATACTTTTTATTATAATTTATTATTTTATTTTGTACCTTGATTTGTTTTTTCTCTTCACCGGATAACGGTTACTATCTTAGGTGACGTTTGGTAACACTTACGTTTTCAATTTTCTGAGCTGGTGGTGGCGGGTGGGTGGCGCTGGTGGTGCTGGTGGGTGGGTGGGTGACGGTGGCGGGTGGTGGGTGGTAGCGAGTGGGGAGTGGTGGTGGTGGTGACGGGTGGTTGGTGGTGGTGGCAAGTGGGTGGCGGGTAGGTGGCGAGTGGGTGGTAGTGGCGGGGGGGGGGGGGGGGGGGGTGGTGACAGGTGGATGGCGGATGGCGGATGGCGGGGGGTAGGTGGTGGGTGGTAGTGGTGGGTGGGTGACGGTGGCGAGTGGTAGGTGGTAGCGAGTAGGTGGTGATGGGTGGTGGGTGGCGGGTGATTTTTAAAAAATTAAATAAATAAAATATCAATAAAATATATGTTATTTTTTTAATTAAAATTTTAAATAAATTTATTTTAAAAAATAATAATAAAATAAAATATAAACAAAATTTTAAAATAAAATATCTATAAAAAACTATTTTAAAAAATTAAATAAATAAAGCATCAATAAAAATTAAATAAAATTATTTTATTTTTAAATTGAGACATTTAAATTTTATTGAATTTACTAAATATAATACATAATTAAATAATAGAATGTCAAAATGATCATTTCACCACCTAATCTCATATCCCCGTTATCCCTCCCCCCCTCCCCCACCCCCCCCCCCCCCGCCCCCATCCACCACCCCCCCCCATCCGCCACTCACCTGCCACCACCACTCGCCACCACCTGCTACTATCACCCACCCACCCACCTACCTACCACCACCCGCCATCCACCACCCACCTGCCACCACCACTCACTCGCTACCACCCACCACCTGCCACCATCACCTACCCACCCACCACCACCAGCTACCTACCACCCACCGTCACCACTTTCCACGATCATCTTCCGCCGCCACTTGCCATTTCTCACTCTTTTTTATATTTTTAAATTTTTTTAAACATTTTATCAATTACCAAACGCGTTTGTAGTTTATATTTTTTTAAAAATAAACAAAAATCAGTTTATAAAATTTTTGTAAATATAAACTAAAAACGTAAACGTTACCAAACACACCCTTAATAGTTAAATTACGACTAACATTTTTTCATAAACTCTTGAAACCACACTCACTATGATTACTTGAACAATTCCCTGGTGTGCACAAAACTTATTCTTTAATTGTTTTTGAGAAGTAACTTAGGCCAAGTTTGGGAAGACTAAATAAGTGTATTTTTTGTCTTTTTAGACTAAAAAGTTAAGGTTGAAAATATGAATGTTTGGGTTAACTTTTTGACTTTTTATGGAAAAATATGTAATAAAAAATTGTAAAAATTAGTTTGTAGGAGAAAATTAGAATTGAGAATTGTGCATCCGTAATTGTTGACTTTTGGTGAATAGTGATGACTTTTTAACTTTTTGAGTAACTTTTTGACTTTTTGACTTTTTTTAAACTACCCAAACTTGGCCTTAGTCATTAATTACCTCATATGTAACATTTTCATTATTATTATTTTTTTTTCTGATCGTGGACAATTATTTCTTTAATTTTTCAAACATATGGGTTTGAATGAGGTAGGAGAAAAATTAACTAATTTTATGCATTTTTACAAAATAAAAAAACTATGATTACTTGAACAATTCCCTGGCGTGCACAAAACTTATTCTTTAATTGTTTTTGAGAAGTAACTTAGTCATTAATTACCTCATATGTAACATTTTCATTATTATTATTTTTTTTTCTGATCGTGGACAATTATTTCTTTAATTTTTCAAACATATGGGTTTGAATGAGGTAGGAGAAAAATTAACTAATTTTATGCATTTTTACAAAATAAAAAAAAAAATCACGTGCCATTAAAATATTTGTGCATTAAACCTGTCTTATTTTGTTTTTTCATATAACTTTATACAGTGAAACACTAATAAAGTTAGAAATGTGATTTTGTGAACTGTTTAATTTTTTCTTTTTTCTTATCAATCGAAAAGTCCCATTAAAATGGAGATTATACGAAAGGATAGTCATTTACACGTTTGAGTTTAATTTTTCAGAAATAAAAGTGGGTTTCTCCAAATATAAAATTATATATTTAGGCAATCAACACTATAGATGTTTTGGATTTTTCCTCATTTTGAAACAAATCCCACATTAGAAATAAGAACGTAATACTCTAATAACGTAACACCTTAATGTAACACATTAGAAAATTCTTTAGTGTATTTTTTTCAAACGTAACAACGTAGCACTCTAAACTTTTTCCAAATATAACACTTCAATATAATATACAAAAAAACTCTTTGTGTACTTTTCTCAAACGTAACACTCCAATGTAATACACAAAAAAAATTATTTAGTGTATTTTTCTCAAACGTAATACTCCAATATAACATACAAAACTCCTTAGTATATTTTTCTCAAACATAACACTAATGTAACACAAAAAAAAAAAATTTAGTGTACTTTTTTCAAACGTAACACTCCAATATAATAAATACAAAAGCACTAAAAAATTCTTTAGTGTATTTTTCTCAAACGTAACAATCATAGCTTGAAATTATACATTTGTCCGAAACTTACTAAGGAATTTTTGTATTCCTTTTGGAATGGTTTGAAGAATTTCGCATACTTTTTTTTAAGTGTTACATTTGGAAAAAAAATACACTAAATTTTTTTTGTGTTATATTGGAATGTTACACTAAGGAGTTTTTTTTGGAGTGTTACGTTTGAAAAAAAAAATATTAAGGAATTTTTTTGAAGTATTATATTAGAGTGTTACGTTTGAGTGTTACATTGGAGTATTACAGTTTAAATTATAAATTTACCTAAAGCTTACTAAAGAATTTTTGTACTCTTTTTGAAATGTTTGAATCATATTTCAAATAAGTTTTGTAGTACTTTTGAAATGTTTGAAGAATCTCACATTTCAAGTCATTTCAAATAAAAAATATTCTTATATAAAAATTCATCCCAAATTTGATTCCCATAAGTTGAGTATCTTACCTTTCTAACATAAAAGAAAAAAGAAAAGAAAAGAAAAAAAATAATAGAAATAAATGTATAATTGTAAATTCAATTTTAAATAATATATTAAATCTTCTTCTTTGTAAAATCAATGAAACTAATTGACATATAAAAAAATTATTA